ATCTACTTCACAATAGGTGAATGCATACCATATGAAACCATTGCTTCCTTAAATCTCTTCAAATCTAACATTTCTATAGGATCCCAGTTAACTTCTGAATAGTCTTGGGGATGCCTATCATCTGGTGGTTGTTCTTTAATAGTAACCAGATAAATTGAGTTTAGTTTTCTAATAATCTTGGGCCTCTCCTCAGTTTCATAATTCAATGGTGCAGTGGTTTCTGCTCTAAACTCCTTTGTGTGTAAATATTTTTCTTAATTTCATTAGTATGTCTTTCTAAGGATTGTATCTTGTCAGTCAGTTTTGCTTTGTTTTGGTATTTGGCACCAATATCAACTTTTTTTAGGGATAAAACATGAATTACCAAACTAATAATGATTTATAATTGACATTATATAAATCCCAGCTAAGTTAATTATCCCTTCATTTAGTTTTTCCATTTTCAAACCATCCATTGTGGAATCATAGAGACCTAACTTCTTCCATCGAAATGTTGTTTTCCATTTTTAATGTGGGAAAAAAACTAAAAACAAACAAACAAACAAAAAATCCTAATTGCCTCCCTTAAGAATTCCCAGTTGCCTCACTAGACCTGCTGACGATGACAGTGAAGTGTGAGGCTGGCTGTCGCTGTGTAGCACAGCTGGGCAGAGAACACAGGTGTGCACAGCCTGGCTGAGGGCAGCTGCAGCTGTTCATGTGCAGCTGTGAGCTGAGAGTGTGTGGTGGTTGCAACAACAATAGAAGCCTGAGCAGACGTAGAGGTGGCTAATGGTGTGGCAGCCCGAGGAGGGAGTCCAGGGGAAGCCCGAAACCCATGGGGAGAGAGACCTAAGGAGCCAGTGGTCTGAAAAGCAGACCCAGGGGAGCATGCAGAAGAAGCACATGTGGCGGGAGCTAACTCCAGAGTTTGGAGCCCAGGCACATGTGGAGTTTGGGCCACAGCTGGAGACTGTGGTAGAAAGACTGCAACAGGAAAATCCCAGAGTGCTTGAAGCAGGAAAGGAAAAGCCAGCCAGTGGTGGCAGCAGCTTCGACTGTGGCTCCTGTGGCTTGCAAAGCCAGGGGCCAGTGGCTGTCTCATGATTTTGTGCCCCAAGTTGGACACCAGGTGAAGTGTTTATCCAATTATTATTTATTAATAAAAAATTGGGAGTCAAGAACCGGATTGATCAGAGAAATGGCAGAGAAGCCATCAGTGACCTCCTATCTCTCCCATCCCTCCATCCAAAAGGCTCAAGGTCCTCTGTAAGACCTGCCTTACTACTTGTCTCTCTATCTGTCCTCAGTCCTCCAAAACCTCTATGGTTAATTTTGTTTGCCCTCTAATTCAAAACAAACTTTATTGTCAGAATGCAATCAAAATATCACACAACACAACCATGTGTGTTTAACATTCCTGGCTTCCCTAGGGCTTATCTGTGAGCAAGCACAAGGGCCTCTTGTTCTCTACAGTATATCACACTACCAGACACCATTCTGGAGAGGCATCAGCAACCCAAGCTGATAAAAATCTTTGTTCCTGATGGGTGTGTGTGTGTGTGTGTGTGTGTGTGTGTGTGTGTGTGTGTGTGTGTGTGTGTGTGTTGCATACCTTTAATCCCAGCACTCAGGAGGCAGAGACAGGAGGATTTCTGAGTTTAAGGTGTTGTTACATAGAGCTGTTACACAGAGAAACCCTGTGTGGAAAAACAAAAACAAAAACATCCTTGTTCTTGGGTGGACTTTTACCTTCTAGTGAGAAGTGCAAAGCTATAAACAATAAGTAGTACACATATAACTTACGTAGTATGTCAGAAAGTGACAAGTCCTAAGAAAAAACAGACTATGCTTAAGGGATTAGAAATTGGTTTCTATTTTAAATGAGGACATTGTGGTAGGTTTTATTGAAAATGTGATGCATGAACTAGGATTTGAAGACAAGTCCAGATCATAAGCTCTGATGCCATCTGGAGAGAGTACTTTGGGCAGAAAAGTTGATGCAGGAGCCCTTCATCAAGAACATGCCTGGTGGGGTTAAGGAGGACAGGGGACCTGAAATGGAAATCCAGAATTTATGAGTGGATGGTGACATCTAGACCTCTGCATGTATGCAATCACTGCAGATGTAAATAAGCTAGAGAAGAAAAGAGGGCCGAGGGCACTTCAAGATTAAGAGTTGGATCAAGGGGTGGTGGCACACATCTTTGATCCCGGCCCTCAGGAAGCTGAGGCAGGAGAAGCACATGGGTGCCACTGGGAACGGAAACCCGGCCGTCTGTAAGTGCTCTTGACAGAGTCATCTCTCCAAGCCTCAGATGACACCTTTTAGTTCTGCTTCACGTGGCAGAATCAGAGAATGTTCTTCCCTGGGCCTTTTATAAGGACATTAATCCCATTTTGTGAGAGTGGAGGCCTCCAGATCTAATCACTACCAAAGACCCTACCTCTTAATGCTATCACATTTGGTTTCAACATATGATGACGACAGACACGCAGATATATTCAGATCACATGAAACAGTTGTCTGGGGTATGACAAAGTGGACTGGACAGATGCTGTACAATTCCAGGGAACATAAACAGCGCATTTGAAATCAGGTCCTCTGGAATAGCAATACGTGTTCTTAACCAATGAACTCTCTCTCCAGCTCCTAGAATAGTAATCAAATCTAAAATTTACTTCTTTTCCTTCCTTTTTAAACACTTACCACTCTGAGCAACAGCGATTAAATAACTGGTTAAGCTTCGTTTAGGTCTGCAAACTGGACCCCCAAATGAACTAGTACAGTCCCTATATTTTACATAGAGCGCCATTGGTGAAAACTCTAAGTCTTCTTCACAATTTAGACAAAAAGCAGATCACTTAGATTTTCTTGTTACTAATCAAAGGATGCAAATTCACAGAGATCCGCCTGCCTCTGCTGTGATTGAAGGCGCGGGTCACTACGCCCTGCTTCTTTTTGTCAGCCGATGAACTGCGGCACTAGCCTTCGCTGTTCACTGGACCTTTGCGCAGAGCTGGGTCTGCGGCTGCGCAAAGGCCAAAGCCCGGCATGCACCGCGGCGGGGGCGGCCCAGGAGCCCCGCGGAGCTCAGGCTGGAGGAGCGGACCGGGCCTCAGGTGCGTGTGCAGCGCTGCAGACGGCGCCCCGTCTCTCCAGTTGTTTCCTGTGTGGCGGTGTTTCCTCGACGCACAGACGTCTTTACTTCCGGGCTTGGTGGCCTGAGGGGACCTCCCCTTCCTCCCTTCCTCCCCTTCCTGTCTCCCCTTCCTCCCCTTCCTGTCTCCCCTGCCTCCCCTGCCTCCCCTTCCTGTCTCCCCTGCCTCCCCTGCCTCCCCTGTCTCCCCTTCCTCCCCTTCCTCTCTTCCTCCCCTTCTCCCCTTCCTGTCTCCCCTGTCTCCCCTGCCTCCCCTTCCTCCCCTTCCTGTCTCCCCTGCCTCCCCTGCCTCCCCTTCCTCCCCTTCCTGTCTCCCCTGCCTCCCCTGCCTCCCCTGCCTCCCCTTCCTGTCTCCCCTGCCTCCCCTTCCTGTCTCCCCTGCCTCCCCTTCCTGTCTCCCCTTCCTCCCCTGCCTCCCCTTCCTCCCCTTCCTGTCTCCCCTTCCTCCCCTGCCTCCCCTGCCTCCCCTTCCTCTCTTCCTCCCCTGCCTCCCCTGGAGGGGGCCTGGCGGCAAACTTGCACCTCGGGCCTGTCGGGAGTCCTGCGAGTTTATGTTTTATCTGCTTCACCCATCGATCTTTATCTAAAGTCTAGGGGATAGGAGACACCATGAAGATCCCGTGGGTCACAGGAGCAGGGAGGATGATTCACCGGAAATCACTGTGCAACATTAAACGTAGTTAAGTTTAAGAACATTCTCAATCTTGGGGAAAAAAAACAAAACAAAACAAAACTGGAGCAACCAAAGATCAGGCCGAGAGGACATTGAGTCTGGGTTTTTTGGTTTCTTTTAATTTTTGTGCGTTGGAATTCTGCCTTCACGTACGTCTGTGTACACGTGCTGGGAACTGAAGCCCTCCGGAAGAGCAGCCAGTACTCTTAACCACTGAGCCATCCATCCCTCTAGCACTATGGGTCTAAGTTTTCGTTTTCAGAAGAGGAAGTAGGCCAGCTCTAGGTGATTTGGCCAAAGTTAAGTAGCTCCGGAGCAAGTGAGCACTTGCCTTGACTGATAGCCTACTTTTTCCCGTGGAAATACTGAGGAAACATTGCTTTCCTAGCCCTAGTTTTCTGATTTCTAACCCTCAACAGTGCACCTTTGGGAAATCACTGACCCCGATTCTTCTCCCACTGTTCAAAATCACTCCCATACAGTTTGTTTTCAAAACTAAGAATAAGGGTGTGAAGGATTAAACAAATGTACCCGTTACTGATACACATCAGTCAGGGCTCAAAATTTAACTATAAGCATTGCCGCGTATGTGTTGTTTGGGCGTATTTTTAATTAACTGCTGTTGGGCACATTGCATTGTGCGTGGTGGGGGCAGGGAGGTGAATGTACTTTGTTCACCATGTACCAAATGCTGGGTAAGGTGTACCAGGAAATGTCTTTCCTCTCAGAGAAGTAGTTTGTCATTCACTCCTTCATGCAATAAATGAGGACATTATGGAGCAGCTGGTTTTAACTCAGCAGGAAGAACTTGCTAATTATTAGAGCTGTTCAAAAGTAGAAGAGACTGCCTTGGGAGATACTAACTCACCCTCACCCAAAGTGACTTTCATTCACATTAGTTGGTTTCTAAATTTTGCTTTGAACTACTTCTGTATTAGGTAACATGTGGAATGTAAGTTTGTATGGTTTAGCTGGTGAAATAAAATACACCTCTAAACAGTCTTGTTCAGAAAATATGCTAGTGCTCAGTAGAGTAAGGCACATTCTGAACAAGTCTCATTTCGTTTGGAGGGTTATTTTCTTGGAGTAGACAGAATTTTTCAGAAGCTTTGAAGGAAAAGTATTTTCTTTTAACTGAATTTTTTTATTTATTATCCTATAGATTTATTATTTGGAGGCTGGAGAGAATGTACTTTATTGGCTCAGCAATTAAGAGCACTGGCTGCTTTTCCAGAGAACCTTCGTTCAATTCGAAGCACCCATATGGCAGCTCACAGCTGTCTGTAACTCCAGTTCCAGGAGGTCTGACGCCCTCTTCTGGCCTCTGTGGCCACTAGGTACACCTGTGGTGCATAATCATTCATACAGGCAAAAGACCCATACACAGAAAATAAAAACAATTCTTTTGAAAATATTATTTTCAGTTTTGCATAAGGTATGTGGGTATGTGCACGTGCATGCTGCTGCCCAAAGAGACCAGAGACGTGAGACCCTCTTGGAGATGGAGTCATACTAGTTTCTAGCCACAGCTGTGACTTCAGGGAGTAAAACTCAGGCCCTCTACAGATTAATACACACTTTCAACTATTGAGCCATCTTTTCAGTCCTGAGTAAGCTATCTTGAAAACATTGAGATTTATGTAAATTATAAATAAGGTAGAGTATGCCCAGTGTAGTGGTTTGAATGAGAATGGCATGCTTGAGCATTTGAGACCTCAAAGCTTGCCCCCTAGTGACCACTTCCTCCGGTGAAGCCACACCCACTGCCACAAGGCCACACCTCCTAAGAGTGCCACTCCCTGTGAGCCTGTGGGGGCCAATTTTATTCAAACCACCGCGGTTTGTTCATTTGTTTTTCCATTCAAACTGTTCCACTCACCTTTGGCATTTCATTGGCCTCCTCTGCCACTATACTATAGAATTCAGAATTGCTTATAGAAGGTAAAGGACTCCTGTACACTGATTCCCTTCCTACATCACAACTGACTGTGTGCTCAGAGGTCATCTGGCCTTTGCCCCGTGACCCTATGTGTATGGGCTTAAGAGCTGTTGCCAGAAGACGCTAATGCTGGAGATGCTCTGGTGTTGTTACTATGGGTAAAAACCGTCCTTTCTCCAGGTTTACATCTCTATTTGTATCCTGGTATGTGTAGGCTAACTTCCTGGTTTACAAGTGGATAAAACAGTTGTTAACACAAGTCATCTTTTCTTTAGGTTAGTGCTCTAGGAGCAATTGCTTCTAAATGTGAGAAGAAAGCTAAAGAGCCAGATATGGTGGTCCACACCTGTAATCTCAGCACCTGGAAGGTGAGGGAGGAAGATGAGTGAGTTTGAGACCAACCTAGGCTGTGTGGGACCCTGACTTAAAACAAAAAAAAAAACCACAATTAATTAGTAAAACATAGGATCAGAGTAGCCAGATGTGCAGCCAAACGTGTCCATTGTCTGGCTTTGATGTTTTAGTGCTGTCTTATATTTATTTACTCATCAAACATTTCTGTGTGTTTTCTTTGTTCTTCATTTTATCAGATTGTGGCACAGTTGGAATCTGGGCTCCTCCAACGGCATACCATGGATGCAAGTGGAGGAAAGGAAAGAATAAAATGGACAACCACCATTATTATCAGCTCATCTCTTAAGGTAAAGGGTGTTTAGAACATTGATCTTCATTTACAAATCTTAGAGCGCCTCATATAAGACTGTATTTTGAAAGATCTTTGGCTTAAGTATTCACAGTTATGGGAACAGGAAGGAAAAATGCTAAATGTATTTCAAAGTTAGTTATATATGTTTTGCCATCACATTCAAAACCCCATTTTCCTAAATGTTTGAAAGTTGGAAATGTTCTAGTGTCCATCTTAGGTAGGGTCTCATTAGCTTGGGCTTCAAACTTGCTGTGGAGCTGAAGATGGGATTTCTCACCCTCCTGCCCTCAACCTCCCGTGTGTAGTGAGTACAGGTGTGTGCTTCTGTTTTCGGCCCTGTGCTCTTAGATTTCCTTTATTGCCTCTTTAAAAAAATGGCTGGTTGTTCATTTACTAATTTTTACTCTTGTGTTTATTCATTTATTTTTCTGAGACAGGGTCTCATGTAGCTGAGCCCAGCCTCCCGCTTGCTGTAACTGAGGAAGGCCTTCAGCTCCTGAGCTGGTCCTCCTGCCACTACATCCCAAGTGCTGGGGATAGGCGTGTGCGGCCATGTCTTGCTAGTGTATTCTGATTTTGAGTACATCAGTACACTAAATGTTCATTAGGTCAGAGCCTGCGTGATCTGGTCATCTCAGCGCGTTAAGAGATGTTCAATGTTTCAAATGCATTTTTTGTGTTATTTGCCAAAAAGATCCTAAGTAATGAATCTTCGTGGTTCTTTGTTAAAAGAGTCGATTCTCATTTGCTGACATTTTATTTTTGAGTCTTTATTTACTAAAGATCAGGCTGTGGTTCTCTCTTGTGTTTTTGCCCAGAGTTGACTTGTTTGCTGTTGTAGTCTGCCCTCGTCCTGCAGTCCTTACATGCATATGTAGCTTATAAGTAAAGGTTTAAAGACATTTCCCTGGACTGGGAAAGTTGTCTAGTTTTAGAGCACTCACCTACCATTTACAAAAAGCCCTGGGTTCAAGCCGTTAAGCTGGAAAAAATATGGGAAAGGGGTGCAAGGTTAAGTTAAGTTAGTGCTCCTAATCTCTGAAGAATTGTAGAAAAAGAATGGTTTCCTTCTCTGTTAAGTTTTATACTTCGTTGAGAATATATTTTCATAAGTTATGTATTTGTAAACATCACATCATAGAGATTAAATTTGTTAGGTTGAGCTCTGAAATTTGCCATTTCCATGGGGAAGATTTCCATATTGGAATTCTTTTTATTTTCAAATTAACTCTTGATCACATGAGAGATGTTTTCTGTTTCTGTTTAAATCTGTATTTCCTTTCATGTGAGAATTTCTAGATACTAGTTTTGAAGAATATTGCTAGATATTGTACATTCAGGGTGGTTATTATAGTTTTTATTTGTGATGTATAAACAAAATGAAGCTCGTTTTTTTTGGGGGGGGTGGGTGGGGCATTTCAAGACAGGGTTTCTCTGTGTAGCCCTGGCTGTCCTGGAACTCGCTCTGTAGACCAGGCTGGACTTGAACTCACAGAGATCCACCTGCCTCTACCTCCCAAGTACTGGGATTAAAGGCGTGCGCTACCACTGCTTACCTGATATATTCCTTTTTTAATTTTAAAGATATGATTACCACTTTAGGTAGTTTTGCTGGCTCTTACATATCTGTTGCACCCTTCTGTATTTTTTCTAGTTCTTTGCTAAAAATTTCAACATCTTTCATCTTGAATATAGAAAACAGACCTATTTTGAGATATGTATGTGGACCCATTTTTATTAGCTACTATTTATGGTGGTTCTCTTTCATGTAAACTGACCTCTGGCCAGTGTGTATGTATGTGTGTATGTGTTGTAATTTATATTTTAAAAATGGTACAAGTAATTTGAGGTCTATGATATATTTAGAAGAATATGCTCTTATTCTGCAAAGGCCTTTATTCTGTAATAATAGATGCTCTGTTTGTCAGGCAAGACAGAAAATTTCATTTAAGATGAATAACGCATTTAATATAAATCCCAAATATTATATAAGATATTTTTTAAATAACATCACCAAACAAGTCAATGGTAGAGCACGTGTGCAAAGCTCCTGATTTGATTTCTAGCTCTGGAAACAAACTTTATATTTGTAATTCAAATTTAACTGAGTGTTATTTTCTTTTGCTAAATTTGGCAAACTAAGCCATGTATTATCAGTTAACCTACAGTGTACATCTAGAATGGTACTAATTACAAGAGAATTGGGAAGCAGACACTCAGTTTCCTTCCGTAATCGGCTTTGAGAAGCCCTGATTGAGAAATGCTTCTCCAAGGTGCTGTAAGTACTAGCAATTCAGCATCACCTTAATCCAGTGCCAGGGACTGAAGTGGTTTGCGCGGGTTGTATCCCTGGGAGAGCTGCTCTACTTTTGTCAAAAGCTCTACTCGGCTTCCCCTCTGTCCTTCTTGAATTGGCAGGTGCCCTTGGGGAAGAAATGGCCTAAATGCTGGGGTCATATCTTTGAATTTCTGTATAGATCTTGGCCTTATAATTTCTCGATATCCTGCTAGTTCTTTGATGCATTTGTACAGATTTGTTTTCAAACTGTCGTTTTTCAAGTTGCTTCAGCAGGAGAGTTGACCTAAATTACTGAACCTGCTATTGCTGGAAGCAGTGTACAATTTAAAAACCACACAAGAAAGGGCCATGGTTGAACTCCAGGACAAAGCCTCAGTAACATAAAACACTCTCTCTTTAGGAAGGAAAGGAACGTATATTTTAGACTACGTGTTTAAATTATATTGTTCTGGAGGAAAATATAAAGTCAGTTTAGGTAAGGGGTGTGTGTGTGTATGTATGTGTACATGTGTGTGGGTGCAAATACCTGTATACACATGTACAGAGGCCAGAGGAGGGTGTCATGTGTCCTGCTCTACCTTCCCTTCCTTATTCTCTTAAGACAGAGTCTCTCACTGAGTCTGGAGCTAGGCTAGTGGCCAGCAAGTCCAGCACTTGGTGTAGCCGTGGCTGACTTTCCAGATGACTTCTAGGGATTTGAACTTGGTCCCTGATGCTTGCCCAGGAAGTGCTTACTAGTTGAGCTATCCCCCAGCATCTAGGTAATGGATTTTTTTCTTAATATAGAGGCTAACAAGCTTGAGTTCTAGTATATATATTAACCACTTAGGTTTTAGCTCTTTGACTGATATGATCTAGTATTTTAGGTAGAATAGTAAATAAGGTAATTATTTTTAATGGTAATACTTAAACCGGAATACAGTAATGCTGCCTTTGTATGTTTTCTGGCTCACCTACGGTAAATGTAAACACATGAACTAGGAAATTGGTTGTCATCTATGGGATATCTGTGTGTAATATGTGGGCCTCTCAGCCATCTAAGAAGTAACTCCCAGCTTCTTCCACAGTTACTCACTAATGCATGTAAGAACCCATTGCCAGATCGTTTCTTAAAAAGAATTTTCCCAAAAGCCAGGAAAATGGTCTGAAACAGCCCCTGTTTCTGCTGTTAGGAGTCCTACAAGAGGACTAAGCTACACAGCTGTCACATATATGCAGAGGGCCTAGGTCAGTCTCATGCAGGCTTCTGGTTGTCAGTTCAGTCTCTGCAAGCCCCTGTGAGCCCGGGTTAGTTGATTGTGTGGGTTTTCTTGTAGTGTCCTCAACCCCTCTGGCTCTTTTCCTGGATGGAGGGGATGGGGGGATGGGGGGAGGAGGGAGACAGACTGCGAGGGGAGAGATGGCGGGGGGGGGGGGGGAGGCTATGGCTGGGATGTAAAATAAGTAGATGAATTAAAAAGTAAATAAATAAATTCCCTGTGGGGCAGTGGTAACACATGCCTTTAATCCCAGCACTGGGGTAGGGGTGGGGGCAGACGGATTTCTGAGGCCATCCTGGTCTACAGAGAGTTCCAGGACAGCCAGAGCTACACAAAAAAACCTGTCTTGAAAAGACAAGACAAAACGAAACAAAATAAAACAAAAATTTTCCCTCGATTCTCATAGTTTTTAACTCTTCATTTTTATTTAGCTCCCTGTTTTTTGTCTCTACTAGGAATGGTCTCACTCCTCCTTTTCAGTCTTTTTGCCCCAGAGAGTAGATTTGTTTCTTTGGTGACAAATCTTTTAAGTGGAACAGTGATAAAACAAACCATTAAACACTTATAATTTTGTATTAGCTGTAATAAAAATCATTTCAGGCATGTCTTATGTTTGTGTTTCTGAAAATTCTTTTAAGACTTGCGAAATTGCAACTGCCCTAGAGACTCGAAGCCACAAGGTTCGGTATTCAGATACATTGGAAAGAGGATCGATGGTATTCTCTCTCTCTGGTACTGTATACTTGTAATTGCCCTTACTTAAGTTCCTTTTAAATATGTGGATGGACATGCTAATTTTTAAAATTCAGTAGCAATATAATAGCTTAATGTGTGATCTTTTGGAAGAGTAAATGGGCTGCATTTTGCATTTGCTGCAAAAGCAGCCCATATGACCAGCTGTAGGATACGGCCCTTTAGGAAATGGAGTCTGGTAGAGGATGGAAAAAGTACTTGCTTTGGAACTGAGGTGAAAATAGAAAAGTCCCCTTGTCTAACAACGAACATAAATTGTTAACAGAGGCCAGCAGTGTGCCTTGGCCAAACTTACATACCCAGACCAATATATGATGTTTCCCCATTAGTTTTATTTACTGAAAAAAAAAATTGAAGAACTTTCTGGGGAAAAATAAATGTTCCAAAAATTCTAAAATTGTGTGTGAGTCATAGGCAAAGTACAGGATTAAATTAGGCTAAGAAGGTGCTGGGAATATGGAAGGATAGCTCCATCTGTGCTTGGGAAGTAACAGAAGTGATAAAAGGGTGGGGGAGGGGAGGCTTCTCAGTCTGTGTATGGTCACATACAAGCCAGTGATCCCAGTGCAGGCTGCTCAAGGCCAGCCTGGACCACACAGTGAGACCATCTCACAGTAAGAAAGAAAGAGAAGATTCTGTTAGGTTTACCACTCTAGCAGAGATTTTGGAAGGCAGGTGCTTTCCAAGTCATTTAGAAAGAAAGACCTTTATGCTGAAAATTACCCAAGTCTAAAATCATTCCTCTTGGCTGAATAGAAAACACTCCAGAGAGAAAGAAGTCAAATATTCTTGGTGACTTTATTTTAGTTATCATCTGTGTGTTTAACCCTCTGACAAGCCTCACAAAGAATTTCTCATGTTCTGGAGGAAAATGAGGATCAGAGGTTATGTAAAATGTACAAATGCATCTAGCCACTGTGTAATCACCTGCTGCTGTCTCTGGAGTGTCTTACCTCCTGACAGCTATAACTAACCCCTCATTGTGAAGACTTGGTCCCATTCCAGACACCAGGTATCTGCTCATTTGGGTATTTTAATTTACATGATTCCTGAGCTTCTGGGAAGGTTTCTTCAACATAAAATTATTGAAAATTTTCTTTAAACTACCTTTCTCATTGATTTCTAGCTTTTGAAATTCAATACACGATCTTCTGAGTTGCTGAACACATGGAGTGCTTGTAAGGTGGTGGGTGTGGGGAGGACATGACGCCTTCCCAGACGCTTATCCCTGGTTGTTTCTCTCTATCCTTTGGAACAGCCTTCTAATAAGCCAGGAAATGTTTTCAGAAATATCTTTAGTATGAAATACTTTTGAGACAAGTTCTTATTATATATCTTGGCTGGTACTATAGCCCAGGATGGCTTTGGACTCACGACAATTCTCCTGTCTCAGTGTTCCATATGCTGAGATTGTAGATGTGCACTACCACACCTGGCTTGAAAGGTTTACTTTTAAAATAGACTTAATCTTTTAATTAAAATTAGGCATCACATTTATGTGCTCAGAGCCTTGACAGAAAACAAAAATTACTGGCCAGTGTTTTTCCTTTAAATTTTTACAATAGTCGTTCTGCTATGAAGAACATGTCAAAGAATTGCCCAAACCATCTTGTTATATAGGGAGTATAACAAATTTTATTCCTTATGAGTCCCTGCTCAGATTGAGCTTATGAAAATTCACTTTGTGTGACTACATTATATTCACCTTTCCTAGGAGCTGCATTTTTATTGATGGATGCTAAAGAATGTCTGATGTCAGCTGAGGAAATATTTCTAACCAAAATTGACAAGTTCATTAGCATTCACCAGAATAGTTTTTTGGTTCTGTTTGCCCCACTCCATGGGCCTGAAGAATGGAATCTCATGTTCAGAATTCAGCAGAGGTATGGAAGCAAAACACAGCCCAGTTTTGTTTTTTGTTTTGTTTTTTTACACTGCTTTGTTTACTTCAGTTCTCAATGCTTGTAGGCAGTTTTGTTTTGCTAGAAGGTAAACTTTATAACCTGTCAAATATAATCAGATAGGGCAGACAACTGTTCCTCAAGTCAAGGTGACTAGAGTTAATTTGATGATAGACCTATTCTACAAATGCAAACCAAAGTGAGCACTGAATTCTGGTTACACAGCCACCTCAGATCTCCTAAGGCACAATGCAGGATGTGATTGGATGAGCATGGGACAGTAGAGCTCGGTCTCTCCTTGTCCTGCTGATGACAGCAAATGTGAGTCAGTTTCTTAACCAATTTCTTTTCAGATTCTTGGGCAGTAACTTACGAATACTTCCTGTACACAACACAGTAAATGCTGTTGACCTTATGTGCACTATTGCTAAGGTAAGTCACCTGGGGGATAATTACATAATTTCTTCCACCCCTTGCTCCCTTAAAGCCCTCCCACACACCCCCATTTTCTTTCAAATTTATGGCCTTTTTCTTTAGTTGTTACATGTGTGTGTTCCTAAATACATAAGTATAACCCATTCAGTCCCTTTAATGTTACTTGTATGTGTATGATTTCCAGGCTGACCACTTATTATTAGATAACCAGTATGAGGGTTTTCCCTGGAAAAGATTTTTCTCATCTCAGCGTCCCAAGTTGCCTGTAGTTCCCTGTCTAGGTTTGGGGCCTCGTGAGCTTTCCCCTTCCATGCTAGCATACCTGTTGATGTCTTCTCTTTGAGGTCATGTGTAGGCCGCCATGTTGATGAGACTTCATGGATATAGCTTCTGACATTTCTAGGAGACACATTCTCACAACAAACTCCCCATTCTTTTGGTTCTTACAAAATCTTCCTGACCCCTTTTGCTACAATGATCCCTCAGTTAGCTACAGGAGTTGTGTTGTAGTTGTATCATTTAGAACTAGGTTCCACAACTCTGCATCTAATCAGTTGTGGTTTTCTGCAATGATGTCTTGCCTTTTGTAAAGAGAAGTCTCCTTGATGTGGGGCGAGAACTAATCTGTGGAAAGGACAAATATTTAAAGTGTAGTTAGGTATTATGCTGGTTTAGTAAAGTGGTGGTTGTAGGTTTTCCTCCAAGATTCATGACTTCACTAGTCCTGGGTAGTTGGCTAAGTTCCTAGTAGCCTGCATGATTTCCCTCTTGTTGAACAGGTCTTAAGTCTAATTAGAGTTATTGGTTCCTGCTAAGATATGAGTGCCCCTACTGTACTTTATGGTTATCAAGTCATGCTGGTCATTGTTGTGGTTCATAGGCATCATAACTAGGTAGAATTGTTGGTTGCTTCTCTCATTTGGAAGCTTGCATGGCATCTTCTGCTACCATGAACTAGTTCTTAGGAAAGCTTTCAAGTCCACTCCAGCTCTGGGCCTCAAGACCCAGTGTCAGAATTGCGTGGTACCTTCAGCAATAGGGACTTACCTTCCACATGTGGGGCAACCAAGGGCAGTGGCCATAGCCTATAGTGTTTGGGAATCTCTTGGACATCCCTGACCAACAACTCAAAAGAAGACTTCTTAGACCTAGTGTTGGGGGTTTTGTTAGATGGTTTATGGCTCTTGGAAGCATTGAGGGGATCCCCATCAAGTGAGAGGATCCAAGGCATGCCACCACTCCAGTAGAATGAATTTTTAAATATATAATCCTACAGAAATACGGTTTCTGTAAATGTTACATGCTTACATTTTCTTTCAGACTACCTCCAAACCAACCATAGACAGTATCTGCTATAGAATGATAACAACCAAAGCTTACATCATAGAGCAAAGCCCTGTTTGGAGGACACTCCAAAAGATAAAACTCAGTACTGATTCAGTTAGTCCAAATTCAGAGTGTTGATCATAAGTGTTCTTTTAGAAAACTATCAAAATAATTAAACTTATTAAATTATAATGTCCAAATGTCTATTTAAGGGCATTTATATTTAAAATAAAATGTATACATTTAAACATGATTTTATTTTGGGAGTTTGGTTTTGATTCCTTTAATGTTTTGGAGTATAGCTGCGTGGGACAGTGCTACCCTGGCATATATAGGCCCATGTTATAAACACCATGGAAAAACAAAGAGAAAATACTTGGTGCATACAGTAAAACTCATAGTTTCTCTCTCTCTCTCTTTTTTTTTGTTTGTTTTGTTTTTTTTAAGACAGTTTCTCTGTAATAGCCCTGGCTGTCCTGGAACTCACTCTGTAGACAAGGCTGGCCTCAAACTCACCGAGATCTACCTGCCTCTGCCTCCTGAGTGCTAGGATTAAAGGTGTGCGCCACCACCACCTGGCCTAAACTCATAGTTTCTTAATGATACCAAGTTGGATGCTCAAATCTAGTAAGAAATGGAAGCACAGAATTGACTAGTTGGACTAAAGGAAAAGCCGTGTACATTTGGGTTTTCTTTCTTTTTTTTTTTTTTTTTTGGTTTTTCGAGACAGGGTCTCTCTGTGTAGCTTTGCGCCTTTCCTGGAACTCACTTGGTAGTCCAGGCTGGCCTCGAACTCACAGAGATCCGCCTGGCTCTGCCTCCCGAGTGCTGGGATTAAAGGCGTGCGCCACCACCACCTGGCCACATTTGGGTTTTCTAATCTCTGCAGGCACTTTCATATTTAGCTGCTGGAGATACCTTTTTAAGTCTCTTGAGACAGGATTTCACGTGATAACGCTGGTTTTTAATTCTCCTGCCTCTACCTCCCAATGCACTACAGGCACCGGGTATTTTGTAAGCTTGCTTCTAAGGCATGAAAAGGGAGGAAAGTTAAAGAAACCAGTCAGCTGTTCTGAAGTCAAAATGTCTACATTTCCAGTGGTGTGGTGTCCAGCTCGACAGTAGGCGCTCCAGTGTTAAAAAGCACCCAAAAAGCAGAAAGTGTATCTGGTTTTTTTAAAATATAAATTCACAAGTATGTGGATGAATACAGCATTTTGACTACATTTTTTGATGTTATAAAACAAATTACTTTGTATTGGATCTTCTAAAGTAGTACTTTTTTTAAAAAAATTATTTTATGTGTATGGATGTTTTGCCTGCATGCATGTATGTATACAACATAGGTGCCTGGTGCCCATGGAGGTCACATCCTCTGCATCTGGAGTTATAGACAGTTGAGAGCCTCCATGTGGGTGCTGAGAACTCTACCCATGTCCTCCAGAAGAGCAGGAAGTGCTCTTAACCACTGAGCCATCTCTCCAGGCTTTTTAAAGCAAAGACTATTTACTACTGATCCATGTATCGGAAATTGACAAGCCCCTAAAATATACTGGAAAACATCATCTTATTGGTTTTTATTTATGAACAAAACTTGTACTTTATTCCAACACTTTCTTCAGAGGTAGACTTTGTTTTGATTTCAATGAGTTCTTCTGCTCGAGCCAGAACACTTTCAATCAAGTCAAATGTGAAAAGAGCTGAATGTAGGACCTGAAATGCCAGAAAAGAGCATCACTGTTACCATAATTAGTCTTTTTGAGAGAGGGTCTTGTGAAGTAGACCAGACTAGCCGACAACTTGCAATCCTCCTGTGTCAGTCTCCCCACTGCTGGGGTTCTAGGCCTACGTACACACACACACACACACACACACACACACACACACACACACACACACACATCTGTGTCATTAATGCTGCTTCTAAAACAATGCACAGAACAGACCTCAGACTGGATGTAGCTTAAAATTTTGGGAGTTACCTTAAGTTGCATCTCAGGAGGCATAGAAGGGATCTCTTCTCCACCTACAGTCACAGAGCAGACACCTTTACACATCGAGGCTGCTATAAAGGAAGAAAAAAAACATTTCACATTTAGCCACTACAGCAGTTCTCAGAGTTTCAGCACTTTGTATGTGTGTGGTGCTGGGAAATGAAATCCAGGGTCTTGAACATACTAGGCAAATGCTTTACTGCTGAGCTGATCCCCAACTCTCAGATTTTAGTACATGTCTTTATTTATTTTGTGTTTATGTGTGGCATGGTACATGTGTGGGGGTCACAGGACAACCTGAAGGAATTGGTTTTCTTCTTCCACCACGTGGGTCCCAGAGACTGAACTTAGGTTTGGGGCTTGACAGATGAGTCACCTTGTCATCTTTCAGATTTTAATAATACATTTTCAAGCTACTTTAATCTTACTAATTTTAAAATATGTGTCAGTGAGGTAACACCTTATAGAATATTTGTTGTAAACAAAATCAAACACTAGAACTATGCAACATGTGAACTGATTCTTTATAAAAAACAGCTTTATTGGCTAAGAATCATTTTAATTAATTAGTTTAATTAATAGCTTTCATTTTTATATAAGGTGAACATATACTAAAATGAGATAGTTTGGGACTGGAGAAAAGGCTCAGTGGCTAAGAGCACTTACTACTCTAACAGAACCTGGGGTGTTTCCCAGCACACACATGGAGGGCTAAAGGCATCTGTAACTCCATTTCCAAGTGATCCAACACTTTCTTCTGACTTTTGTGGGCTCATACATACATATGGTACACACAAATACACTCAGGCACATACACATGTTTAAAAACAATATGATTATTTCAGAATTTGAATTTTAGACCTAATGGAAAATAAAACTGCATGCTACCAACCTTGGCTATTTTGTTGGCTGTTTTTGATTTCTGCTTCATAATGTGCTTTTGACATATTAAGTCCTATATGAAGTGGCTTTAAAAAGTTATTTTCAATCTTTCCAAGTTCTGTCCATAATCCAGTCTGTTCAGAAGATTTAATGAACAAATTAGTTACTTGGTTCAGCACATACAGGATGCCTTCTGTTAATAAACATGCGCTAGCTGGGAGAAAAAATGACTGTACCATGGTCCTGCTCTTTAAGCCACTATTAACATCAAGTTATGGTGTCAGTCATAAGAACCCACTAAAACAGAAGTGTACAGCACACTGCTCATCACTATTCTGCTTGAATAACTACTGGTTTTGAGGTCTGTGACAAAATTAACCAGGAACATCCTATCACTTTCCATCTCCTACAAACCATCTCCACGGTGGCTCTACTTTAAGTCGGCCTCATCACTGGATGTATTACTTGGAGTGCTTGGCTATGGGTCACATTCCAGAAGATTTGTTCTCTTTCCTACTAATGGAGACTTTTAAAACTAAATTAATTTGTGTTTCTTGATGGCCAAGGCAGATGGTCAGTTTAGCATTTTGTCATGTATCTGAGAAGTTTTCATGTCAAGATCATTTACAACTGTGGTACAAAGAAGGGAGGGGGCAGTAATGAAGTTTTTAACTTAATTAAAAAAAGAGAGAGAGATAAATGCAAAATATTGATGGTATAAGACTTCCAGGTCTTATACACCAGAAAATACAGTTTATATAGGGAATTCAGTTATCCTTAACCATATCAATGAGATGGAACACACTTACTCTATAATGAGTTTATAGGGACCCTGTGAGTGAAAGTAAGATACCCGTGTAACAACTGATAATAATGACTCCACACATCTTTTCCCTGAGAAATCTTTGTAGCACTCATACATTGTTGGCAGGAATGTTCACTTGTCCAGCCACTATAGAAATTGGTATCAACGTTTCTCAAAAAAACTAAAAATAGAACATGAATCAAAGCTAGCATAGGTAGTGATTCCCACACACCCAGGTACACGATGCACTATTCCCAATACCCAAGTTACAGCCCCAACCTCGGTGCCCACAACACAGGACGGGAAGGAGAGTGTGGTGTGCACATAATCGGGTATTATTCTGTCATAAGGAGTCAAAGTGCCACTTCAGAAAAATGGGTGAAACTGAAGTTAACTTTATGTGAAATACGATACTCGGACATTATCTCTCATATGTAGAATCCAGGCTTTTTTTTTTCTCTTTCTAAGAAAAAGACATGAAAATAGAAGAGGGAATATTTGAGAGAAGGACTGATGGGAGGGAGGGAGAGAGGGAAGGAGGGAGGGAGCAGGCACAGAGTGTGAAGGGAAGTTCACCGTGATGGAAGTATTCTAATGCCTCTGTGAAAATGTCACAATGAAACCCATTATTAGTCAAATAACATATGCTAGTAAAAAGACAAAAAAAAAAACCCTATCTTTTAAAAAACTTCTCTTATACTGCTGGAAAATGCAGAGGTCTAAGTAAAACTAGATATGAATTCAAACTTCAAAAATATGCCTATCAGTTCATTCAACATCTGTGGATTTATTCTGGGAAAACAAAGATGTATTTTGTAATGATTGCATTGGAGAGGTGCCTTTACAAACAATGTTCAATGAAAAAGAATGCAAGAATATGTTTCATAACAGGAAAATGTTAAGTTGTCGTATATTCACATAATGGAAAACTACATAGACATTAAATTTTTTCTTGAGTAAATATTGTTGAATGGGAGAAACTTTATATAGCATGACTTCATTCTCATTTAAAAGAGAAAAATGTGGCAGAGCACCCAGAGAGTATAATATCAACAAGGGGTGATGGGCCTGTGATTCCTGCTTTTATTTATTTATTTTGTAAATTTACTTTGTGTGTGCATGAATGAGGACAGGTGCTGTGCCATGGTGCCAATGTGGAGGTCAAAAAGGACAATTTTGTGGCACAGGCCTTTAATCCCAGCACTTGGGAGGCAGAGGCAGGCGGATCTATGAGTTTGAGGCCAGCCTGGTCTACAGAGGGAGTTCCAGTACAGACAAGGCTACACAACACACACACACACACACACACACACACACACACACACACACACACACACACACACACACACACACACCAGACAACTAGAGTTGATTCTTCTCTCGACACTTTGTGGGATCCAGAGGTTGAACTCAGATGGTCAGGCCTATGTGCAGGCACCTCCACCCGCCAAGCCGTTTCTCCTACGCACATATGTAGTGTGTGTGACATGTGCACACCTCAGCCCTGTGTGGAGGTCGGAGGACAGCTCTGCCCTGTTGACTCTCTTCCCACGTTAGGCTGAGTCGGGGCCACCTTTCCACCTCTGTTACTCATTGTCTCTGGTGGGGTCATCTTGTTTGTAAACAGAGGACCTGTTTTAGTATTACGGTTTTTAATGTGCTTTTAGGGGCTTTTATGTTTGCGCATACAACTCACGTGCTACCACTGTTCTCATGTCTGTTTCCACCTCTCTCCATCTAGTCCTTTCTTGTCAGCTCCTGTCTCTGTATCTGTTCCCTTTTAAATAACTTTCCCTCTTCTGTTACCTGTAAGCTAAAAGCACAACTCACCAGAACTGCTACTTTCAAGGCTGATTAGGTCGTTAATGACAATCAAATCCATTGCATACATGAAGAACACCCTTAACACTTCTTTTTTCAAATGTGTATGAGGTATTTTTTTTAAATATATGTCTGTGTACCATATGTGTGCCTCATGCACAGAGGGGCGAGAAGAGAGCATTGGATCTCTTGGAACTGGAGTGGGTGCTGGGAATCAAACCCAGGTCCTTCACAAGAGTAGCCAGTCCTCTCAACCACTGAGCCGTCTCTCAAGTTCCCATAGGGAACACTCTGTAACCTACACTTAGCTTTATCAAAAGGAAATAACTTCCCATATTTATATAAAAGAAAATATTAGTTATGGTTGAAGTCCCTTTTACTCAAGAGGTAGCCATGAGCTAACACTTCAGGTGTTTAACATTTTTTATGTCTATATCACTTAATATAAAACATTATATATATAAATGTTTGAAGGATGTTGGCAAGTTACAGGCCAGCCAGAGCCACATAGTGAGAACCACACTTGAAACAAAAATCAAAATAAACAGTGAGTTGTAACTGGCTGGATCTTACTAGGTTGTCCTAGAAGAGCAAGGATGGAAGTGGGCGTCTGGATGCTAGCCCCCACCTTTGCTCTCAAGCACCCTCCAGAACTAAGCAGACTTCCTGAGCACACATACCTTCCCACAGGGAAATCCTGACAATCCTGTTGTCCTGATGTCCATGCAAGACAAATTCTAGCTGGAATTCACAACCTGGCCTGTTTGCCCTCCCCCTTCAACCAATACAAGGGTCTTATAATCTCAGAATTTGTGATCATTGTTGGCTACATAGTGAGTTCCGGGCCAGCAGGGACAACTTGAGACCCTGTCTAAAAACAACAACAACAAAAACAACAGGCCAGCAAGAAGGCTCAGTG